ATTATTATTATTATTATTATTATTATTATTATTATTGATTCCATTACGTCTGGACCAGTGGCCTCTGTGAGCCTCCAACTCTCTATCTAATGCGGAGAGAAGTTGTTGTTGTTTCTGTTGTTGTTGGGCCGCTAATGAAAGCGTCTGTCGGGTGTTATTTTCACTCTGCCAACTTTTTCTATCCTTTTCACGGTGTGTGTGGGTCTCTTCATGATCCTTTTCTTCTCTCGCCACCGCTACAATTACATTCGTTTGTCGTTGATAATTATTATTATGATTACGTGGATCTTCACGTTTTTCTTTTTCTTTACTTTCTTCTCGTCTGCGTCCACGTGAGTGAGGAGGAGAAGAGGAACGATGATCGCGTCTCTTACGATGCGACTCCTCTCGACGATGACGCACACGTCTATGATGATCACGATCACGACGATCACGATAGCGACTATTATCTTTATTATAATGATGATGATTATTATTACTATTACTATTGGAGGAGGAATAGGAATGCGTGAGACTTAATTCTCCATCACTGCAGCTGTGGCTTCTGGCACGATGTCTTCTATGGCGATCATACAACTTCCCTGTATTCCCACTATTATTACTATTATTATCTTTATGGCTCTTATGATGATAAGAGCTGCGATGACGTCTTTCATCATTATAGGGGTAGGGATAATCGTCTTCATTATCGTCTGGTAGTGTACGTCGACGTCTGTTTTCCTCATATGCATATCCACGTCTTCTTGATCCCATTATTTATTTATTTTTTCTTTTCTTTCTTTCTTTGTAGATGAACACAACTATATATATATATATATATATACTATTGCTGCTGAAATAGTAAAATGAGTATAGTGGTAGTAAGAGAAGGATACTGTATTCCTTTAAGCCCTGTACTAGTAGTAGTTTTAATAGTATTATCGTTACTACTAATATTAATACTAGTTATGATTAGGGTTTGCTGTCAGTAAATATTTGTTGTGTTTTTTTTTTTTTTTGGTAATTTGAGTGTAATCCTTCCTTCTTTTCTTTTTTTATTTTTCACTGCATTCAGCACCGCTATTCGTACGAAATACAGTGTCAGACTGTCCCTTTCGCCTCGGTGTAGAATTCCCTTTTTTTTTTTTTCTCTCTTGTTTATATATAGTGGAATGGGGGAAGGGGTTAATATTCAAATAAAGAAAAGAGAGAAATGATAATAGAGAGAAGTATAGACACACAGAGAACCTGAATAATGAGAAACACTATTATTACTAATAATAATAATAATCATAATGATGATAGTAATATTGATAATAATAACAACTAAAACAAGGGGGGGGGGGGAAAGTCAACGAAATCGCATAATAAATCCCAAAAAGTATCAAAAAACAAACAATAATTAATAATATCAATAACAACAATAATAAAAGGACGCAA